TTGGATTTCCTTTTTCAAAGGCTGGTTTGTATTTATCATGTTTTCTAATTACCTACATCATCTGTGATCATCAAGTCATGAATGGGTGGCAGAATTAAAATAACTTTTACTAAAAAACCCAATTTATTTCTATGTTAAATAAAGAATGTATACAAAGAAGCTAACTACGTGATTCAATGAATTTAATAATTAACTGTGAAGGTATGATTTCAGATGGACTATTTTGAGAATTTTATTGCCATGAAATATTCTAACATTGGTAAATTTATTGTTGGGAATGAAGATGACGCCCGTCTGTGTGGTCCAATGCAGGGCCAAGGTTTCAGTCCCCAAGCCGGAAGAAAACATCTGCCCTATCCTCAAGGCCAGAAACCCACATAAGACATATCCTCAAGGCCTGACATCATCATAAGACCTCTTTTCTTGCTTTTCGGTAGATTTTATACAAATATTTAGGGTGTGGCAAGGATGGTTTTAATTGGTTCTTAACTTCACCCTATAACTTCATAATAACTGGTAACACCCTAAAAGGAACCAGTTACTCAGCCCGTTACTAGTTTTTACTCAGCCTTCCCCAGGGTCCAGGTACAGGTCGGTCCTTATCTACCTTCTCCTCTCCCTTGGCGCTGTTTTTGATGTCAGAAGTCGGTTTCATTCACCCTTGCTTTTGACACCTCATAATAATTTAAAAAACTTATTTGCTATGATCAATATATAGCAAGTTCGATTTTAAAGATCTGACTGATCAGCTTAGCCTTGCGAAATTTTTAACTAACTTAATTTTTTTTTTTGCTCCTTTTCACCAAGTTGTTTGGTATTGCTCATTATTCTTACACTTTGAAGCTACGATCTCTCATTTCACATGCTCAACCTCTACGTCAGTGCTTCCCTCCCCTTCCAGGAGTTCTTCCTCGCCTCCTCCATCGGGATGACATTCCTTGCAGACAGAGGCTATCAATCATTGAGACACCTAAGGTAGGCCGCGGGGAGGGCCCGGGTGATATCGAACCAGGGGGTGGAGGGGGCCACCCGGCCGCCAGTAGCTCGCCGAGCTTCCTCCAGCGTCAGGTCCGTCGTTGTTCGGTCATGGAAATCAACAGGTAAACCCGATCAGCCTCCTCGCTATCTCATAAAGGTAATGCTACATATCATTTTTTCCTTTTAAATGAATGGAATAGTTTAAAAATTTATTATTTTTATTTTTTTCCTTAAAAAAAATATTATTTTAATTTAAAAAAAAAAATAATGCTATCAGATCTAGACTAGAAAGTGGACCTTTGACCCCCAAAATTTAAAAATGATCAATTATTTGGGAAAATTTTGATGAGTTAAAAACTACAGTTTTAAATTAATTAAATTATAGAAAAAATTGAATTAAATACTTTTTCATTACATACATACTTAAAGCACATCTCACATCTCTGACGGAAAACTTACAGGACTTACTTAAAACAGGATCACCCTTGCGTCAACTGCATTCAATCTTTTCCGCATTCCTTGCGTGGTTGAGCCCAAGTTCTGAATCTACACAGTTAATTCTTTTTCAAGTATTAAAACTATCGTAAACTTTAATAAGTGGGTTTAATGTTTATCATTCTATATAAATGGATATACATTTTTGGATTATATTTATCTAATGCATTTCAGAATTATTCATTTGCAAAATTTCAATTATGAAATAGGATATATATAAAAAATGTTAATTTCTTTTTTTCTATTCTTTCTTGTAACTTTCATCTACTAAAAATCTACTTTTCATTATAAAACGACAGTATTTTAAGCATGTTGGTAACGAAAAAAAAAGATAAAAATTAATTTTGAATATTTAATTACCTCGATATAGGTAGGTATATTAATGTTTTAGTGAACATTAATAAAATGAAAGTTCTATCGTTGACGATATTACGTCGATCAAGTTTATTGCATTCATACTTAATAACGGCTGAATCCATAATAAAGTACTGTTGGATTAATAAAACAAAACATATTGCAATGAAAACGCTTTAAATGAAAAATCATCCCTATCCAAGAGAAACGACATTCTAATAGAAAATATAATATCACTGCTGTTAGTGCAAAAGATCGTATGTAACAATTTTACATTCTTATTCTATTTGTACTAAAGGTTAAAATTTGTAGTTTGCAACTGCAATAAGTAGTCTGCTACTATGAAATATAATAGAGTGAAATAAAATTTGAAATTTTACTAATAAATCATAAAGAAATAATTACTAATGATCCTCCCTCATGAAAAAACTTAATTTTCACGTACCACCTTTCGCACTAACAGTAGTGATATATTGTAAGCATCATAAAGTTTAATATTAATTATTTTAACAATACATTTATTATTATTTATTGTTTATAATTATGTTTAATCTATGTATAATAAAAAAACCCAAGTTTCTATGAGTATTTTTTTTTACATTATTTTATAATTTAGATATCATATTTAATTATTGTTGATATATATAATTTATATTATTTATACCCATATATTTTAGTTAATTTAGACAAAAGGAAGCGCATTATATTTAATTTATATCTCATTATTATTCAAAATTAATTCGAATCTTTAAAAAACTAAATTATAAAAAAAAATCAATATTAGTAATAGATGTTCTTAACAGCAGTTCTTGATTCAATCGGATCCATCCAAAATTTGTCGTGGTTTTATTATCGTATGATTTAATTTTTGTTTTAATAATTCTTTTTGTATGTTAACGGCAACACTGCTTTAATGCTTCAATTTCATAGTAAGGTTGTTAGATCTAAGGCAAGATTTGCGAGGGACGAATCTCTGATGTATTACTAACGTTGTGTAAGCTTTGTCAACTTTATTGGACTGTAGAAAATTGTAAATAAAATATTATAAATTTTAAAAATATTATTAAATATACCATTTCCTAATAATTCAACAGTCTTTTTCACGACTAATTAAAAATATATACTTACCATGGTAATTTTTAAATGAATTTATCAAAAAGCTAACGAATTAAATTTAATTAATTATTAGTTGGATTAATGAATAATAACTTTCAAAGGAGAGCTATTTTTGTGAAATAGGATTTTTGAAAAATTATCACCATTAGATGACAAATAACTAAAAATATTAAAATGAAATTATATTCTATATATTGTATGCTAAATTTTCAATGATGTTTTCTCATCGATTTCATAAGAAAAAAAAAATTATAACCGTGCATTGTCTCAGTCCTTTGTCAGCTTTTCTCTCGATCTGTTTTCTGTTCATGTTAACTATCGGGTTCTCATATTTATGGCTATTTGCAAACTTATCCTAAAAAAACTTATTGTGTTCTTATTTTTAGTTTTATTCTAGTTGATTGTACGATATAGGAGTTCTGAACCTAAGTTAACGAATTTGTGACAGAGATTTTAGTAATTTTCTTCAAGTATGTATCTCAATATTTTGTCAAGTTTAAGGGTGGTGTGCACAGTCTTTCATCTAACTCCCATTAAATGTTCGGACAAAAAAAAAAAAAAAAAAATACTTTTATGAAATTAAATAAAAAAATATTCCTTTCAGCCAATTTAATAGCAAATAAGCTTCCAGTTAATAATAAAGTTATCTTATGTTGAAACAGTCCCATTACCTCCTTTACTTACTCGGTGCTCAGTCTATACTTCAAGCGTTTTGTGCCCTGCGTTTAAGAGAATACGAGAAGAAATATCAGATGGGCTGAAATGAGTCCTGAGTTTCAATGGAATTTGGAAATATTCCTTTTTTGTTAGAACGTTCAACTGGAGTTAGAGGAACAAATATGCATACCAAACTTAAAGTTGACGATAAGAAGGTGCTTCGATCCTTTGATTTTGTTAGCGTTGTAATCGTTGTTTCCTCTTACCTAAAGAAATATATATCGGTACTGTTTGTACAAAAGGTCGTATGTAATAACTTTACATGTTTATTCTCTTTGCGATAAAGGTGACATTTTTTAGTTTACAACTGCTTAAAATAATCTGATAGGAAAATAGCAGAGGGAAATAAAGTATGAAATTATACAAATAAATCATGAAAAAATAATACACTTTTATGTTCTTCTGTAGAAAAACTCTATTTTTATTAGAGACCTTTTGCACTAACAGTAGTGATATAACCTACCATATTTCTTGAAAAGTCTCCAAGTTCTGTGTACGGTTTCATAAGTTTGTGTTTTCCGCATTGAAATCCTGAAGGAAGTGCATACTTTTTTTTTCAGAGGTAGATCTCTTTTTTTTGTTTAGTTTAGGTTTTTCCATTAACAGTACCTATATATATTTCTTTAGGAAAGAACAAACAGTGATTACAACGCTAACACAATCCAAAGATAATCGCAAGTACCTTCTTATCGTCTAATTTAATTATGATATGCATATTTGTTCCTCTAACTCCACATGAACGTTCTGAAAAAAAATAAGAATATTTTCAAATTCCATTAAAACTCGATGAAAAAGGACTTATGAATAAGTGTTTATTTTATTTTATTTTTTTAAATACGATATATTCTCAGCCCATTGTTTTAGTATTTAACAATGAAGTATATAGAAAGAGGACTGAAAAATGAGTCGTGAAATAGAGAGTCTCTTATTTAAACTTTACTATATTATTTATGTTATTTTTTATTTTTGAAAAGGAGTAAATATTCGATACTGCCGTTTTCACTTAATATTTAATACTATGAAATGATTTTAGATTGCCACCGACACGTGTATCGCCTTGACGATCCTGGTGGATACCTGTACAAGACATAAAAAATGAATATAGAGTTGTTTATTGACATTTGATGACTTTTTTTTTAATTCTCAGTACTTTGCCAATATTGGTTAATTAGTTATTAACATTATTCGATCAACTAAATAAATCTATTTTGTAGAATGAAAAGTATTACATGTAAAGTTATTGTTTATTACCCATCTTTTTCCATTGAATTGCTTTACCGATAACAATTAATTTTTAAAAAATACTGAATGAATAAACTTTTTCTTTTAGGAGTTTCCATTAATCCATCATGGATTCCCCCACTTCGTTATCCCAGGTCTTCCTTGGTCTTCTTCTTTCCATAGTTTTCCATAAGTGAACTTCTTTGGTTAGTATTCTTTCAGACATTCTTTTTAAATGTTCATACAACTTCAGGCGTTTTTTCTCAATCTCTTCCAGAATGGTTCTTTTAGCCTCCATCTTTTCTCTGATGGTCGTATTTCTCACATTGGATATTCCCGCTGCTCTTCTCCAGTTACTACTGTACAGTTCACTTCTGTGACTACTTTCTTTCTGAGGTTGCTTTTTAAGATCCAAGTTTCTGACTCATATCTCATAATGCTCAGTACAATACTATTGTAGATATTTATTTAGATCTAATATCAAGCTGTACCCTGTGATACCAACAATGTTACCATCAGGGCAGAAAAAAAAATTGAAAATATAAAGAGCTTGCCTTGGAGTTAAAAAAGCTATATCATTTAGAAAAAGTGAATATTACTCCAAATATCAGATCTTCTGATCGTTTAATATTGAAAAGCACAGCAGAGGGAACCCAAGACCATGGACTTGATTTGGCGTTTTTAAAAACACCACAAACAATTTTTGCTCGAGACGTGCAGGATTGTTAAAAAATTTCTAAATAAATACATTTTTCTTCGTTCATCTACATTCTCTTGAGTGTTTTTCCCGGGTTGTGTGGACGCCCTTCCAGAAATCTAAGAAAGCTAAGCATATAGATAAATAATAATAATATTTGAAAATATATAAGAAATTTGTTTTTCTTTACCGATACTGGTGCTGATTTCGTTCTTTAAATGTGTCATGTTTATTTTAACGTAATGCTTTTTATTGTGACGTGTTAGTTAAATAAAGAGAAAATTGATGGTTTAGTTGAGCGCGCAAACCCAATTCCAAACGTCCAAAGAGGTCTGGTAATGGTAATGTAAATGAGATGTTTGTTTTTAATTGGGTATTTGAATATTTTGCCAAGTAAATATTGTGGTAGGCAGAATCTACGAACAGTTTGTTTCAAGTTAAATTATATTATTATTAAATTTCAAATTAATGATTCACTAGCGTTTCAATATTGTATGGGGATTCCAAGGTAAGACGCTTGTCAAGATGGAGTGGAAGGTAACAAATTTCATCGATAGGGATTGATGGAATAATATCATTGGATACTGAAGGACAAGATGTTGTAATTTTACGATATAAAGATGTTTGTTGGAATTGGTTAGGACTTATTTTAATTCTTTAGTTTTGAAACCCTTCTCCAAGGGCTGTGATGTGTAGATAGATAGATAGAAAATAGCTTTATTCTGAGACAAAGTACTTTGAGAATAACATAATAGAAAAATTAAAACATTACATCTGGTCTAAATAAAAACAATAAAATACATGCTATATACAAAACAAATAAAACTATATACAAAACACTTAAAACTATGACAGGACACAAACAGCATAAATATACACTTTTAAGAAAACAATAAAGAAAAACTAAAAATATATAAAATTTTTCATTAAAATACACTCTGTGTTTCTGTGGAGAAAAAAGAAACTTGAACCTGACAATACAAAGTGCCTGAGTAATATACGAATACATCATCATTTAAATGCTGGATTTAAAAAATAATAAGGTGTATAAAAAATAATAGTTTTAAACAAACAAAGATGCGTTCAGTGGCATCAAGAGTAGGAAAATCTTATCCTAATAGGAAAATATAAGGAGAGTTTGGGATGCAGATGAATCATGATTCACAGCTGTTGATAAATGACATGACATCGTTTATACTATTTTCCGTATTTATATTATATATTCCATATTTATGTGAACCTTTATGTTGACATAATGACTAACTCCAATTTCAACATTTTTGAGTAAAGCCAGTTTAGTGATATTTCTAACTAGAGAATTTATAATATCTGTCCAGACAGTGAGTAAGTTGATTCCATTATAGTTGATAACCGTATTGAAATATAAAACTGAACAAAGACAAACATTTTACCCCTAAAATTAATAACATAAAATATTGGAATTGAAGTTAGACATTCTGCCAACTGAAAGGCTCATATTTATTATGAAATTATTTATTTCATGTTCATATTATATCCAACCATCGATTAAATTAAATTTTAACAATGATAGTAATGGCATTGTAGCGTCCAAAACTTATAAAATTTATTTTAAAAAAATTTTGTTTGTTATTACTGTAACTTATGTATTATATGTGTATGTTTTTTATGTGTTTTCATTTTATTTTTCTATATTTTTGAATTTCAATTATAACCACGCTAGAGAATATTTTTTGTTTAACTGATAACATATTATTTTATAGCGCTAGTTCATTAATTTAGCCTACTTTGTATATTTTAACATCCAAACCAATGCCTATCTTTTATTACTTTTGTTATCCTATTATATTATTGTTTTATTTATTTATTTTTATTAATCCAGGTTATACTTTTTCTCTCTCTGTGTACCAATATGAGTATACATGTATATATAATTCTTTTTTTTTTTCCATTACATTACAAGTAATCCTGAGTTTTATTTTTATTTCTCTTAGTGTTTGCATATCATAATATAAAACACTGTAGATATTATTACATTTTGTAGTAAGTTATTTTTTTTATTAGTTAGCCAATTGTTTATAAATTGTGTAGTTATGAATATATAAATATGTAATTTCTTTTTTTTTTTTTTTTTGCGTCACAATAATAAGTAATTTTGAGATTTTATGTTCTTTTAATTTTTTTTTTTTTTTTCTGTTTATTTTTTAAAGATTACATACTATTTTTTAAAATAATGGATATAAAGTTAGAATTTTTATAATTAATTTTTGGCCAGATTTGTATTTTCTTTTGTATTAATTCATCATTGTTATTCTAAGTTGACTTAGCTTCCCTCCCTTAGAATAAAGTTCAATTTTCTATTCTATGTTATTTTTTGCACCGTTGGGCAGATTTTGGCAACCATTCGGACTGAGTTGTTATGTTTGTATTGTATTGTAGTAAAAACCTAAGTATATTCTAAGCAGTATAGGACTTCTGTGGGGACTTCTTGGGCCGACGAAAGATTAAAAAAAATATTTTAATAAAAGATTAATTTATTATCCAACCCCATCAATTATTCCACTCACACTTGTCATGAAGGCATTACAGCTGTAGATCGAGGACGAGCCAATAAGAGCGATCCGCGGCTTAGCTTTTCCAATAATGCGGGAGGAATTCGCTGAGTCGGGACCGCTTTAACAATAACCCATTCAGACAGATTTATTTAAACCAAAAACACTTCCCCCTTCCTCAAAGGAAAGGATGTTATTTCTTTGAACTAGGGACTCGAAGCTTGATCCCTACCCCTCCCAAATCTTTTTTATCCTTATGCCATGCAGTGTTGTTATTTAATATTTTGTATCCATCGTTGTGGGTTTGTGGATAGACAGACATTCAAAGAACAAATACGTGGTTAGTATTCAGATGATCCATTACAATATGGGAACGATCATTATTTTGTAACAGGTACTGTTATATACAATTTAATATTTGATATATCTATGGTATTAATTAAAGTGTTTAGAAACATATATATATATATATTGTACAGTGGCTAAACTCTCTAACTGAGGTTACAGTCAGTGGGTGACCGTTTTCAACTAAATTTTTTTTTTGTAACATAACTTCGTAAAATGTTAGACACGTGTCCCGACGATTGTTCCAATTGGCCTTAGAATCCGAGAAAAAAAATTATATAATTTATAACAGAATTTATATTTTTTCCCATTTGCTTTGTCCGTATTTCTAGGTTATTATCCACAAATCGATTTCTTTGTGTTTATATAAGAATACAAAAAAAAAAAAAATAAATAAATAAATAAATGCCAATAATATTAAATGAGTGATAATGTAAAACAATATCACCACGAAGAGTGGAAGAGGATAAGCCCAGAATTTACAAAAAATTGATCTACTCCATTAAAAACAGACTGAAAGAAGTGGTAGAAAATAATTGATTGCCTACAAGATATTGAACTAAATTAATAATATTAAAACATTATTCCATAGTTCATATACATTCATTATGTACTACTACTTTTATTGTATCTAATACATTTTTAATTAAACTACTCATATAAAATGAACCTTTATTTAAGAGACCTTTAATTATATTTATGACCCTTTAATTATATTTATCTAATTTTTATAATTATAATATAATTATATATTATCTATGACCTTTAATTACCTGATCCTACAGGGTAGAGGCAACAATAAAAGAAAATAAATAATTATATCTTATAAATATATAATTTCTTTATTGAGTAATATTTCATTTTGTCACAATCAAGTACTGTTGGCCAAATGCGAGACCGAGACGAGTCTTGGTCTTGCAAATTCAGTCTTGATCATGGTCTTGGTCTTGCGCAAGAGTGTCGCAACAGTCTTGCAGTTACTTATTAGCTCATTACTATAAAGATATTACTGTAATTTTTTATATAGGAGAAATCTAACTAAGCCCGAATGAAAAATTTGAGGAGTTAAATACCAAATTATATTGGTTATACCAATTCTTTACATATAGTATTAAAATTAAATAATTAAAATTGTCAAGTATTAGTAAGTATTTTGCCTTAATTTTTATATAAAAAATCGATTTGTTTTTACCAGTCCTAGTCTTGGTCTGGCAACAGTTAGGCGGCCTTGGTCTTGGTCTTGCAAAGTGCAATAGCAAGACCGATTCTGGGCAACACTACAATCAAGGACATTAGTAATAGTGATAGAGGAGCTCATTAACACTCTATTTACAATAAATACAAATAAATTAAACATTAAATCTATATAAAAAGAAAGAAACAAAAATAATCAAAATAACAACTTAAATACAATCATACGTTTATACAATGCATCCAAAAAAAAAAAAAAAAATGAAAGGCACTTTTCTTTAAAATTCAGCACATAAGACCTGTTAATCTATTTTATTGATCATGATATTTAGCTGATCTTAAATAACACTGAATTGTGCATTGTTATAACGAGTTTATTCACAATCGTTATAACTGTTTTTGGAAAAGTTGTAGTGCTAGAATTGATCAATTATTCCGCTTACCAACGTCCATAAATCGACGCACGTTTCTTAAAAAGTAATGAATACAGTTCAAACACGGGAGTAAATGAATGCTTACTCAGAAATAAAAAGAAACATATCCGAAAGGGAAATTATGGCTAAAGGGGCTGCTTCTGTATCGTTTAACATGTTTATTCAGCTCCTACACAAATGAGGAACAATAACATTTCGTATTTATTTTCCAAGCAGCATCGCAACGTTATTGAATAATGAAATTAAATAATAATATAAACTG